ATATATATATATATATATATATTTCATCCAATAACATTTATTTGTATCTAGTTTCATGGTAGTAGGGGCATTGGATCGAAAAACCCAAAGAGTTGCACGTTTTTTCTACCTAGTTTGGTTATCACAAATAATCAATTTAAATTAAAAAAAATAATCATTAGCATTACAAATTTACATATTCAGGAAATATTTGAATGAGATTCTAACACCTATAATAATTTATAATTCTAAAACCCAATTATCCGATTGAGATCCGGGTCTTGAATTGAGAGTTTCCCCGAGTCTATCATTTTCATTTCAAATAAACTTAAAATAACATTATTTTGGTAAAAAGAAATAGTTTTTTTTTTACTGACTTGACCTCCACAAAATGGACTCACAAAGCCTCGCTCTCGCTTGGTCAGATTTGATATTGCTATGATCTAAATGACTCTCCAAACAAACCTGCCAGTGGAGGAAGATTACAGCTTCTCTGCATCCCCAAAGTTCTTTGACTTTGTGCCTTATGGTGCCCATAATGCATACGTACGGCAAGAGCTAGCGCTCTATAGCAAAATTAGCCGGTATTTTAACCATAGCCAAAAAGTCCGCATCACATAATAATAATATTAATAATACATGTATTCTAGTGCTGCACCTGGGTTCGGGCCCTCGCGTGCATGTCTGTCACTCCCACGGTACTTTACATGACTATTGAGTTTGCAGAGTATTCAGTGGATCGTGAAGATTAGTCAAGGTGCACACAAGCTGACCAGGATACCCCACATATATAAAAATAAAAATATTAATAATACATGTCTTATGTATTGGTCTATTGCAATAAGACCAAACAAGGTGGTCGTTTTGTTCCTTGTGTTTGTGGCAGGCATCGCAGCGGAGATTTTGTGGTCCCTAATGGCTTCGGCAGCTAGAGACATTGCATACAGGGCCGCCTTCTTGTGCCATGTCTCAGGCGGTGCCAGTAAATACATGCAAAGCAATTGGTGCGGCCTTCAGTTTTACAGGAAGGGGGCAGAAACCAAGTTTACTGTGTTGTTTGTTTGAAACTTTAGATTGGATAGTTGAAAGAGTAACAAGTGCTTCAAAGTTGGTCGTGTCTTTTCTGTACTTCAATTTGTCCGGGTTCATCTCTCTTGCTTTATCATTAGAAACTTAAGTGCCTTTCACCAGATTTGTTTTTCCTGTCTCTGTCAGAAAGGAAATGATCGAGCCCTCTTGAGTTCTAAATCATTTTATAATGATAATTACTATATATTTGATATAGAGTTCTCAAATCTTGCTCATCTTCATTTACTATTTTTCAATCATTCCACAATGCAAACATAGGGACTTGATGCTTTCCACCCTGCAATGGAAAGTAGCCCTGAGAATAGCTTTCGCTGCCAAGGCCAAAATCACTAGCTAAGCCAACTGAACATTTTGGACTAGCAGCATTGGAGGGATTCCTGCTACTTGAAGCCACCAAAGTTACACCATTGTTATTGTTGTTAGCACTTTGTTGCTGTTGATGTTCCCCTGTATTTTCACTCCACATCACGTCAGTCAATTCATGGGAGGCTTCACTGCTTGCTATGGCAAGGTGGGGCTGAGAAGATGTTGATGAAGCACAAGAATTGTAATCCTCGAGGGCCACCGGAGCCGAATCTTTTGATGAACGCTTAGCTTGGTCACTAGCAATGAGTTCGGAGCTTGAGCAAATTCTCTTCACATCATACCTTCCTATACCAAAATTTGTAACAGCACTGGCACCCCTAAATTTAATTGCAGCAATGTCATAGGCCTCGGCAGCTTCTTCTTGTGTACCTATATCGTAACGAGCGATTAGACTATTTGAGTTGAGTTTCTCAAGCTATAAAATAGTTATTGTGCATGAAATGGTTGAAAGTTGATCAAGGCTGACTTGTATTTTGTGGCCAAGACATACATTTACGTTAAAACGCCATGAGCTTAAGTTAAAATCCTCCACACTTGGTTATGTGCAAAGAGTAGGATGTAATGCCATAAGAATGGATACCACATCAAATGCTTTAATAGAAGGAAAATAAAGGGAAAAAGGACGAGAGAGAGAGAGAAAGTGACGAAGGTTTGCTTACTAAATGTTCCAAGGTACAAATCCTTGTTTCCAGCAACCCTTCCTATTCTAGCTTGCCATCTTCCATGTTGATGATGCCTGCCAGGATAAAGGAAAGCAACTTAGCGAAAGGAGGGAAAGATACGGTGGAAGAATCATGTTTAGTATTATTTACTAAAAATGCGCACTTGATATTATATGCAAATGGTTAACAATGTTTGCCTATTATTGCCTACGATGATTGAAAAAAAGCCTGCAATTGCAGTAAATAATGGGGAAAAAAAAGAAAAAAACTTTATCATTGAATTCGCTTTCTGCCATTACCTTGTCACTCCTCTGTACACAGAAGCTCCTCTTGAAAACCCACTACTTTTCCTGTCAAAATTTGAATAAAGCAATCATTTTTTCTCCCCTCTCCTCTCCTTCTCTTTTTCTTTAATTAAGGACTGTAAAATGGCAAATACCTTCTCAAACTGGCTACAAATTCTTGCCTGGTCATGTGCTTCATCTCTTCAAGCTCTTTCTCATAAGTGTTCAACTAACATTTTTTTTTGTTTGTTTGAAAAAAAAGTTAAGATATTACAGATACAGACACTACAGAACAAATGGCTGATCTTTTTTGCACACACCAACTTAGGATGACTAACAGCAGACTTACAGGAAAATTAATATGCGTTGTTGGACCCCAATACTTCAAGGAAGCTAAATCATAAGCCCTTGCTGCCTTTTCTTCCTTATCATACCCACCTGATAATGAAAGAGAAGAACATGAACAATATCCAACGAATTTAAGACCACCAAAAATATGTTAATCAGTAATTAATAAATCCAATTCTTGGGTATAATTAAAGAATATAGCATACAAATAATATTTGACATAATAAAGAATTACACCTACCAAGGTAAACTGCATAAGATTTGAGTGACATTGAAAGGTGAATATACCCAAAAAGTATATGAAAAAGAAAAGCAACCGTTAGCATATTCTTTTGAAGAAAAAGAAGGAAGACGGCATATGTATGTATACTAGAGAGAAATACAGAAAATATTAAAAGTTTATTTTCTCTCACACCTTGCCTTCCTTTCCTCGTTTGTCCTTCTTTCCTGCAACTATTGTCCCATAAATGGGCCTCATATCTCCCAGTCCATCTATGCCTAACAATCATAGAACATATATAACATATAATTGCACCCACACATGTATATGTTGAAGCGAAGTTGAAAGGAAGGTATTGCCACGACTTGAAGAAGAGAAGAAAAGGAAGATAGTACCTTGTTACACCTCTATATTGTGAAGTTCTTTGTCCAAATGTGTCAATAGATTTATGAGAAACTGGTTCTTTAGCAAGTGATTTTACAACTGGCCTTTTACGGTTATCAACCACTTGCAATGGAGATATAGTAGCCAATCCATTCAGAGAACTAGGACTCGTTGTGAGCAATAATGATAGAAAATTGCTATTGTTTGCTTCAATTGGAGAATTCCCACTAGAAGAAAATGGCGCCGTCTGCCTCAGCCAAGACTTGAACCCAGAAACTGAACTAGCACTCTCAAAAGGCACATGGTTCATGCCACTTTCATGGCTATGGCTATGGCTTAGGCTTAAATCACAGTGCTGAAGACAGTGACTAGGGATTGAGGTTTGTGGATTGTCATTGAAATGGTAACTTCGGATTAAAGAAGAACGGCTTGTGAAACTATTCTCCCCAGTTTTTACATCTCCGTTGGTGTTGAAGCTTGGTGCTAGATCAACATTGATTCTATTAGCATGGTTTTGACGACTCTGGTGATCTTCTTGCTGACAATAAGCTTTGGTCTCATTAGAAGGTGAGTTTGAGTAACACCCCAAGAAATCCTCAAGCTTTGGACCATCCTCACTTGTACTACCTCCATCCATAGTGTTTTCATATCTCCAATCTACCAATTACCATCAAATAAGATGAAATATAAGTTTTCATTTAAGAAAATAACACATGCACTGAGAAAGAAAGAAAAAGGGAGCATGCAGTACCTGAAGCGCCATTAGATGGACGTCTAAATGGATCAAAAACACAAAGAGATCCATCAGAACGCAAAGGCATGACAGCGAAACCAGGAGCTTGGTCTTCTCTACCAAACCCTTCATCAATTCTCAAGTGTGGAGTCAGAGAAAACCCCGACCATTTACTCATGTTATCTTCACACACAAAAATCTACAAGCGATTTTCTCTCTCACTCACTCAAACAATCTCAAAACTGTGTTTTTTAATGCGTCTCCCTCCTTTACCTTTGTTTCTTTGATTCACTGTGACTTCAGGTTCTGGTTTTAAAGCTCAAACTTCAAAAAATTTTGGTGAACAGTGCTCTCTCTATCTCACTCTCTTGTCTTATATTCGCAGCCTTTACACCTCTGTATCTGCGGTTTTCGGGTTTCGTGCCCTCTCTTTCATTTCCTCTCAGTCGTACTTAAGTCCCATGACACGATATTTATTTATAGGATACAAGTGTAGACAGATTTACAAAGTTAATAAGTTTTTCATAGTTTATTAAAATAAACTAATTAATCTTTATATTATAAAAATAATTAAATAAATTTTTTTATCAGCATTGATTATGCTTTGTTACTAGTATATTTTTTTATGATTTTTTCTCCATATTTTTCCATATTATCTACTTTTTTATCATTTTTATAATAGGAAATCAAGATGAACTAAAAAAAGAATATGACATGGAAAAAAAAAATTAAGTTACACATGAATTTAAGAATACAGGAATTAAACATGTAGTTTTTAAGACTAGAAGGACTAATAAATTATTTTTATTAAACTTAAAGGATTATGTTATAATTAACTGAATATTATTTAGTACAATTTAATTCTTTTTCTTTTTTTAGATTAATGTGGGTGTTCGGATCAGCTTGCGCGCACCACGACTAATCCCACGGGTCCTGAAATTAACGACCATGTAAGCCTCCAGTGACAATCATATGAACAACCAAGGACTCGAACCTGAAATTTAACTCTTTTTCTCATTTAAAGAGTGGTTAATGTGAAAGTTAGAACATTGCATGTGTATTCTTGTTTTATGGTAAAAATAAATGGAAAAAAAACAGGCTCAGTAAGTGAGCAAAATAATATTTTACATTTATATTTAAGAATGTTTTTTCATCATCATCAATAAAGAGCTAAACTAAAATAGGATAGCAAGAGTTTAATATAAAAATACATTAAGGATTATAAGAATACACCAATAAAGAGCTAAATCAAAGTAGGATAACGAGAGTTTAATATAAAAATACATTAAGAATTATAAGAATTAAATTAGATTGAAAGTTCTAGAAAATAGGGACCGAATTGAACTTTCACAACTTCTCCAACCTGATCCAGCCATCAACCTTCCACTTTCATCGCTAATCAAAACCATCTTTTAGCCATAAATTGCCTCTTATTTCTTTATCATTTTTTATATATTTTTTATTTTTTTATATATCAAAATTAATTAACACCTAGGGTTTAAGTCAAGTATACAAAATTAAGGTCTAATTAAAATCATTTGAAGTAATGCAATTTTTTCATGTAAAAATCCTTAATTTTTTGATGAAATAGTTAAATTTAACACAAATATCTTTGATATTAAATGAGTTAAGGGTGTCTTTATGTCTTGAAAAGTGGTTTTCAAGAAACTATTTTTCAAATTTTACTATGTTTATTTGTTATTAGAAAAATTAATCAATAGAAAATATGTTCACATCGAAGAAAAATTTGACTTGATTTTCAGGAAAGTGTCTTCCTTTTATTTTGGATGGAAAATACTTTTCAGAAGTTGTGAAAAAATTAAAACTATCATATTATTTGTTAATTATGTTAAATTTGGTCCTCAAACTTTTGATTGCTATATATTTTGTTAGATTTTTTTTTCAATTTTATTCTTTAAAATTTAATTTAATTTAATTTTTATATTAACTTTGATCCTTATTTCTATGATTGTTATTTATTTTTCTCTTATTAGTTTTTTAATTGAATTTTTTTATCTATGGTCATCATTCTTTTTATTATTACTTATTTAATTTAAAATAATTTATAAAATTATAATTATAATTATTTTAATTTCATCATCTTTTAATTTTTTGATTTATTAGATTTGATATTTATTATTTTTATTGTTATTTATTTTATTTGAGATAATTTATAAAATTATATTTCTTTCAATTCCATTCTCATTCAACTTTTTAATTTGTAAGATTTGTTCCTAATTATTTTAATAAAATTGAAAAAAATAAAACATTAATAAGTTATTTTCTATAACATAACCAAACACTGAAAAATATATTTCAATTTATTTTTCATGACTACTAAACATCAGAAAATAATCTACTTTCTCAAAATTCACTTTCCAATGAAACTATTTTTTAAAAAAAATTACTTTTCTGCAAATAAATATACCTAAAATTTAAGCTTAAACAAAAAAATAGTAGTTAAGTAGCCCTATCATAATTGTTGATCTTATTTGAACACTCGTTATGCTGAGCTTTTTATAAAAAACTAGGTTTAAAAGTTTTATAACTCAATCTTAATCACTAATTTCCTACTCCTTTACTTATTTCTATTCCTAATTACTATAAAAAAAGTTTGGATTATTTTATTATTCATTGTAATATTCATATGAACATTGCTTCTTTTTTTTATGCTTTTGTTTTTTGTCATTCAACTCAACTTAATTTCTTTGTAATTTTTTTGTTCCAGGTTATAGGTTATATTAGTAGTGTGGTTTTTTTTCCATGCTTTTACAAATACAAAGTGAAAAATCCAACATGTCAATTTTATAAAATAAAATTTTAAACTATAATTAAAAAATATTAATATAAGAAGGATTAAAATAAATAAATAAACAGTAGAGCTCACTTTTTAGAAAGTGTGGGAAACTTCAATTTTTTCCTTAAAGTCTTAGTTGATGTGTTTATTTGGTTCTTACAGTTTTAATATTTTATGTTTTGGTTCTAAAATTTATTTATTTATTAATCTTAAATGTTGAGAGAGAATGGAGAAAATTATTAAAAAGCATTTGGACAAAAAAAGATCATTCACATACATTTCAACCATAAAAAGATCAATTTTTATTTTAATGGACTTGTATTAAAGAAAAGAGTTTTATGGAGGTGGTTAGGATTTTTCATCTTGCTATAAAAAATTAATCAGGGCTTCAAAAAGTCATCTTGAATAAATTATGCCAACCCATAAAATCAAATATTGTATCTATCTTAAAATTACTTAACATACATGTTAAACCTTTTTCAACTATAAGAGATCGATTTGAAAATAAATTCATAAACTTCTCTACATTATCACTTTGATGAAAATTAAGATTATTTATTCATTTTTTTCATTGATTCCACATCTCTCGTACGTTTCTTAGGTATCATCTAGCTTGAATCTCTAAGAAATTAACTTTAATTGAGCTTGATTTGGTGAAATTTAAGTGATTCAAGAGTAGATTTCAGTTTAGAATTAGGGTTCTTTAATTTAAAGATTATGTCTATGCTGAAAAATGACAAAAATATTTATAACATTGATTTAGTTAAATGGACCGGCTGATTTAACCTCAACTTTGAAATATTCTAATTTTCTCTTTTGGTCTTTCTTATGCTCCTAAAAAATACCCTTTCCATGTAAAAATTAAGTCCAAAACACAAGAAAATCGAGGGTCAAAATCTAAAATCTAGGTAGTAAACAAGCTATATGTGTTTTCTCTCAACCAATTTATATAAAAAACATAAATTTTTAGTTTTGATAATTTGAGATGTTTTATTAGACCAAAAAACAACATTTTATCCAACTTTTTGTCTCAAACTAAACCTAACTGAAACATCAAAATGTTATTTTTCACATAGTAGCAAATACTTTATTTCATTATTTCTTTATTTCACTGAAACCTTAAAATGTTATTGTTTACATGGTAGTAAATACTTTATTCCACTATTTCAACTGATTGAATTAGTATAACAAAATGGTCGATCAATTTATCAAAGATCTACATTATCAGAGAATTTTATAGCGGGACAAATTTTTCAAGCTAAAAAGGGTATATATTTCATCATTGAAACATGTTTAACTTATTTTCAATAATATATACACACAAAGAGAAAATCTCAAATGTCATTAGCATGAATAAAGCCTAAATTCCTCCTTATTTCACAAAAGTGATCCTTACCTACATGCTTTTTAAAAATATTTATCAATAGATTTTATGTTTTTACAAACTCAAGTATAATATCACTTTTCATCATGTAATCTTTTAGAAAGTAATGTCTCATTTCAATATGTTTTGTACGTGAGTGTTGTATAGGATTTTTAGATAGACTTATTACACTTGTATTATCACGCTTAATAAATATATGATTAAAATTAAAACCAAAATCTTATGAGTTTTGTTTCATCTATAAATTTGATGCAAAATAATGATCAGTTGTTATATATTTTGCCTTAGTTGTAGATAGGGCTACTAAGCTTTGTTTCGTACTAGCAGTTGTTATATATTTTGCCTTAGTTGTAGATAGGGCTACTAAGCTTTGTTTCGTACTAGCCTAAGATAATGGTGATGATCTTAAAAAGTGACATGTTCTACTAATATTTTTTCTATCAACTTTACACCTAGCAAAATTAATATATGAATAACTAATCAAACTCAACTTATTTTTTTCTAAATACCACAACCTTAAATTAATTGTACTATGTAAATATTGAAAAATTTGTTTTACAACACTTATATGAGACTTTTTAGGACATGCTTTAAAACATTCATACATGTAAATACTAAACATAATATCGAGTCTATTTACAATTAAATATAACAGTGAATTAATCATAACTTAATATTTTATGATGTCTATATTCTTACAATTTCCATCCATATTAAGCTTAGTTAATGTTCTCATGGGTGTGTCGGTTTTTTGACATGTTCCATCTCAAATCTCTTTAGTAGATCTTTGTTGTATTTGTTTTGATTGATAAATATGTTGTCTCTTGTTTGCTTGATTTGCATTCATACTCATTTTGAACACTCCTTACAAAGAGAATAGTTATTATGGATATAATATCATCAACATATATTTGCACAATTAAGATATCATTACCTTTTCTTCTTCTTTTTTTTTTTTTGAAAAGAGTGGTGTTAATTTTGCCAAAGTTGAAATTATTTTCAATAAGAAAAGACTTTAATAGATCATACCAAGCTTTTAGTGCTTTTTTAAATCATATAAAACTTTTATTAGTTTGAAAACTTAATCTAGAAAATAAAACTTTTCAAACCTTAAACTTGCTCACTACACACCTCTTCTATGATAAAACCATTTAAAATGCACTTTTAACATTCATTTGAAAACGTATAAGATTAGCATGACATGCAAAAGCTAAAAGCATTATTATTGATTCTAGTCCAGTCGCGAGTGTAAAGATTTATT